GGTTGAGCGTCTACCTAGGATCCAGGCGATCAGGGTTCGATTCCCAGTCAGGGCATATGCCCGGGTTGCGGGCTCGATCCCCAGTACGGGGTGTGCAGGGGACAGCCGATCAGTGACTCTCTCATCATTGATGTTTCTATCTCTCTCTATCCCTCTCCTTTCTTCTCTCTGAAATCAATAAAGATATATTTAAAAATAAATAAATAAAATAAAATGGATGGATGGATGGATAGTTGCCCTTATAATTGGTAACAACTCAGAAAAATACGCTTGAAACTGTAACATTCAAAAGACATACCATATTTTGCAATTCAATAGATATTTTCTCTTTTTTACATTTTAAATATGAATAGCAATATCCTGATGAATAATAAGAATGCCTTTCTTAAGAGATTTATAGAATATTTAATTATATCATTAAATGAATGTTGTTAGTCAAAATGGAAAACTATTTTTCACCACTTCTACCACCACCATACAAGTGTGTGTGTGTTAAATAGCATACACACTAGAAAGACGAAAGCAAAAAGAAGTCAATTTTATGACTGAACACTACTCATTGTTTGAGCTAATGAGAACTGGAACCAAAAGAATCTAATCATATTTCAACTGATACATTTATATCTCTCTCTGTATCAATATCTATAGTTTATCATCCATCAAAACCGGCAACTCTTTTTTTATTGACCAAGCCATTGTAAGCTGTTTACCTTCCACATTTCAGCTAGCATGCAAAAGCGCCTGAAGAAGGAGAAAAAATCCAAGAGAAAACTTCAAGAAGCTTTGGAATTTGAATCAAAGCGTAGGGAGCAAGTGGAGCAAGCCCTTAAGCAAGCCACTACTAATGACAGTGGCCTGAGAATGTTGAAAGGTAATGTCTGATTTGAGCTTACACACACAAGGTACACAAAGCAAAACCCGATTTAAAACACAGGGAAGGAAGGGAGAGAGGGAGGGAGGGAAGGAGGGAGAGAGGAGGGAAAGAAGGAAAAGGCTTTGTCCAGGAATTATTAAAAATCAATTTGAGGCCAAGTTATATAGGCCATTAATTAAATCTGTCAAAATAATCTCTATTCTGGGAGATAGTTTGGGAATAACAAAAAATCCTGCTGGCTTTTGAAGTAGAAAAAAAAAA